CCTCACACTTCACACCCAAGCTACAAATATTCCCTTCTATCTGAAGAAACCATTCCCAGAACATTTTTAACTATCTCAAATTCAAGCAGAAATCCAAGAACCTGACTTCAAGGAGATCACCTGTGAAGCATGCAGATTAAAAAAAAAAAATCCTCCAGAACCTCACTCACTCGTTGAGTTTATATATTTTCTCTGAAAAAAAGACTTCATCCAGAAGCTTGTGGATGTTCCGTCTTTCTGCTGCTAACAGCACTCCATTGTTGGCAAGAATTCCCAAGCAGGTCCCAGCATGGCCTATGGCTTCCATTGCATATTCCACTTGATACAGACGACCTAGGAGAAGACCATGAAGAGCGGTGTTACTACGGGGTCAAATCTGAGGCCACCACCTCGCGTTGAAGTATCAGGACACTGAAGCCAATCTTCTGTACAATGGTTACGCTAGAAGAACAAAACATACCCTCCAAATAACATAGAATCATAGGGCTGGATAGGAACTTGAAGGTTTTTTAATCCAATCCCCTCCCTGCTCATGACAGGACACGTCCCATTTTGGTCAAATAATTGTCCAGTGTACTTTTGACAAGCTCCAGCGATGTAGCAACCCATAACTCTGGGAGGTAAGTAGTTCCATTTATTGATTCCTCTCAATGTCAGAAAATTTCTCTTTAAATCTCTTTAACAAGCTTCCACCCACCACTACTTCTGCTTTCAGCTTCCTTGGAGAATAGGTTGATACCCCTCCTTCTCTGTGACAGCTTTTCAAGTAATGAAAAACAGTTATCATGTCCCCTAATTCTTCAATACCTAGCTCTCTCAACTGAAAAAAAGGGAATGAAATTATACATTTACAACTCTCCTTTTTAAAAGCAACGTTAATGCAAAATAATATTGCGGTAACAATGCAATACTTATTGCTTTGGTAATGAAGAACCAAATGTTCGCTGCTTATAATATAACCCTAGATATGGGATCGCAGAGTTGGAATTCAATTTAGATTACGTGGCTTTCTGGTTCTCACGGCTTCTCTCTCTCTTTGCGAGGTAGTTACCTTCAGGGGAAAAGATGGTCGTTCGAGAATCATATCTTCGAGACTGCAAGGAAAAAGTTTGTTTTGTTAATGAATAAAGCACTCAATGACAAAAGGGCGATCTTAATGCTCCCAATCACTAGTACAGTAAGGAGCATCTTTGGAATAGTGATTCAAGGCAGCCATCAAGCTCCCTGTCAGGGATGGCTCTGCACCACTCTGTTCCATATGAAATTAGCCCAAATTTGAATAGGCTGCTCAGAGTTGCCTTCTCAGGAAGATAGGCAGCATATAAATTTAATGAATAAATAAATATTCATTGGGACCCCCCAAAGAAGTGATTAAGAAGCACCGAAGTGTTTACTTTTTCCCTGAAAAAGGGAACGACAATTATCCTTGGTAATATGATGTATGGAATCCTATTCGCAAGGCAGGGGAATTCTGGGAGTTGAAGTCCATACATCTTCAAGTTGCCAAGGTTGGGGAACACTGCTCTAGGCAGGTGGAATTGTTATAAAAGGGGGAAATCATGTTTAATAATTTCATTATAAACTGGATTTCTGAAAATGAATGGGCAAGACTGCATAGCTGCTCTGATACATACAGCCTAACATTTATGATCTACACAACACAAATCTTTCTGAAACTGGGACACAAAAACTCACCATGGTGCTTCTGGGTTGGACTTAGCTGTAAAAGAGGGAAAAAGAGAAGAAAAATCCAATTATGCACATGTGTCAAAATCAAAACATTCCAAATTTCCAACATAACTGCTGAGATAATAAGAAAAGCTGGCCTCTGGAAGAAAGGATGTTAAAAGAAGAGCAAAGATTTATCCTTTGCCTGCAAATGCTACTGAACTAGTTCTATAAAAGATAACTTCATTTTGCTTAAAAGCTTCTGCTGTCGCCTCTAACTAGCTGAAGTTGTGAATTGTGAAAGCGAAACTAAAAGCAGTTTCTCAATGTTTTGGGGAGTGTTGCAATCATCAGCAAATGGCTAGAAATACAGGATGAGACTAGGCCCTTGATAAAAAGTGACTGGAACTAGAAACTGGGTGACCATGAATTCAAGTCCCGTCTTAGACACAAAACCAGTTGGGTGACCTCGTCCAATTTCCCATGCATTCAACTCCAGGATATCCCACAAATCAGGATAGAAAGCAATCGGGTCTTGCATTCAGAAGAAGACAGAATATTCTTGGTCCAAAGTAACACCAGGCTAGAAACCAGGAGACCATGAGTTCTAGTAGCTCACTGGATATCCATGAGCTGTCCCTTCTCTCTCAGCCCTAAGGAGGAGGCCAGGGCAAACCGCTTTTGAAAAGGTGCTCAAGAAAATTGCACGGACTTCTCCAAGCAGTTATCAGAAACTGAGATTTTACTCTAAGGGGCAGACAAAAAAGCAGAGCTTAACTGAAATTTAAATCCACATTAGCGAACCAAGGATTCCAATACATACTAGACGTTTTACCTGTCTACTTTCCTTTCTACTTATCTGTCCATCTACCCACCTACCACCCATCTATTACACTATTGCATCCATCCATCCACCTAACTAGCCACCTCCCTACCTACCTACTTACCTACAATCCACCTATCCATCTCCTTACCCCACCTCCCTACCCTCCCTCCATCTCCCTGTCCATCTATTTACCTATCTACCTAGCCACCTTCCGTCTCCCTGTCCACCTACTTAAGGTACCTACCTAACCCCTCACCCACAGTCCCTCCCACATCCCCCTATCTCCCATTTCCCTATCCACCTACTACTTACCTATCTACCTACTCAGCATCCATCACCCTAACCATCCATGTACTTAGCAATAGCACTTAGACTTATATACGGCTTCACAGTGCTTTTCCAGCCCTCTCTACAGAGTCGGCCAATTTGCCCCCAACAATCTGGGTCCTCCTTTTACCCAACCTCCGAAGGATGGAAGGATGAGTCAACCTTGAACTTATATACCTACCCACACACCCTTCCATCTTCCTATCCCCCTACCTACCTACAGTATTTACCTATCATCCATCCATCCTCCGTCTCCCTAACTATCCCCCTACCTATCTACCTACATACTCACCCACCCACCCTCCATCCCCCTATCTACCCTAATCCCCCATCCACCCTCTTCTTCTTTTGGGCCACCCCTCCAGCCACCTTCCTACCTGAATGAATAAATAAATATTCGTCTACCCACCTACTCACCCATCCAGCCCCTGTAATTTTTACACTTTTTGTGGAATAGCTTCACTGGCCAGCCCGTCCACCTGTCCAATTACCTACCACTCACCTGTCCACCGACCCACCTACCTATTGTGGTGCCTATTGATCTTCTCCCCTACTTACGTCCCCTCCCTCCCTCCCTTGTCTACCTATCAATACACCTGCCTGACAATCAATCAATCCATATGATGAGAGCCATTTTTCCCTATTCCCTGCACAGTCATCCTACCCAGCCGGGGCCAGGAGAAAGGCGACAGTCCCGGGGAGACAGCCGGCAGAGGAACACCCCACCGGCGACCGGGGCCGCCCACGTCCCACCACCCTGCCCTGCAAGAGGCTCCGACCCGGCGGCTCCCCGAACGGAGAAACCCCCCTCGGCCCCTCACCTCCGGCCGCTCTCCGCCGCCTTCCAAAATGGTCGCCTCGCGCCTGCGCACTCACGACCCGCTCAGAGAGCCGGCCGGGCGCGAGGTGTAAAATTCGCTTCCTAGACGGGTCCCTTTTCGAGCCGGAATTCCGGAGCGTGGCCTCGAGCGCCATGTTTGTTGTGGGCAGGCAGGGCATTTAAACGGGACGGGTCGGGGTAGATAAACTTCCTATTTCAGCAGAGGCCAGTTCTTACCTAGGTAGGCATAGAAATAAAATTTATAATTTATATAAACATAAGGATAATAAGTCTTGAAAGGATAAATAGGGTTGGACTTGGATGGGAGGCCACCAGGTAATGCACCTCATAGGTTAGACAGGAACGAGCATTTTAAGAGGTAGCAAGCCATGTTCTGTATGGCCAAGGAAACTTGCATGGAGATTAAAGGAGCTCAAATAATAGTAATATCTAATAATAAATAATTATACTCTTTCACACTCAGGGCTCCAAACGGTGCGTAGAGAGGAAAAACTGGTATTGTGTTTTGTCTTTTAAAAGTAAATATGTAAACACATTACACTGTACTTTGAAACAGGTCTCATCTGTATATTTTACTGAAATCCAAGAGCAATCTGGTCTTTATTGCAGGACTGACAGAGGAACTGAGCCTCAATGGGGTTTCTAATACGTGGGGCATTGTAGTCTGTTGTAGTCCAAAGGAGGAGCTAGGTTAAAGTGGAAATAAAGTTTCACAACATAGCCTATTAGCCTTGGATTTCCCATTTTTAAAATCGATGTCAAGTTCTATAAGGCACATGAGGCTTTTGTGCTATGCAGAGATGTATATCTCCTTCTTCTATCTATATAAAAGCGAAATCCCACTCACACATCGTCACAAAATCTCTAGAACCGTAAAGCCTACAAACTTGAAATTGGGCACATTATGTTCCTCTTGGGCTTCTAGGGGCTCACTAACGAAGAGTTTTTCGAAACGACCATCAGAGCATTAGCATTTCCTATATTATTATTATTAACACGCTCTGATGCTAAGGAGTTCTACTCCCCCTCCCCAATTGAAAAGAAATCTGTTCCAGATGCAAAACACAAGCAGAGGAGTTTCAGTTTCAGAGCACCAAACAGCTTTAGTATTGAACAGTTGAGCTAAGCCACGCCCAGGCTCCTTGCTGTCTACTTCTTGCTCACACAGCAAATACTGTTTCAGTTTCCCAACAGCCTTTAACTCTTATCACACATCAACGGGACACTAGCCAGATGAATACTGATGGGTGCTGGTAGGCAGAGGCAGAATTTTTTCCTTCTTATTTTCCTCCCCAAAAGCTAAGCCTGATCACATAGCTTCATAGCGAAGCACGGGTATCCAAGCTAGTATTTTAATAAAACCACTTTACTGAATGTTCAGAGTAAGATTTACAACCATTTTTGTATGGATTCTGTACACACCAGATGGGCAAAAGCTGAGAGGACTTTGCACCAGCCCTCTGACAAAAACTACAAAGAAACATCACCCCCCAAAATGCAGAATGTGCTAATGAAGATTATAAACAAGTTTCCGTTCTGTCGGAAGATTAATTATTGCTGCCACTCCCCAGCTGAACATCGGAATGCAAAAACAGACAGTTTGACATTTTTTCTTTCTTTCTTCTGGCATAAGCGCCAAAATAAAACCAAATCATATTTTACACGTATAACCGGATTGAGCCTGAAAAGAATTCTTCAGTAGCAACTTAAACTTTCCCAGTTGTGGTTTTATACAATTTTTTTTTTTTGCCAACTTCCACCTTGATAATATCGGTAACGGTGTTCTCAGACATGGTGTCAGTCCTCAAGATTTTCTTCCTTTGCTTTGCATCTTTCAGCTGTCATAAGTAACGGGGGGGAGGAGGGGGGACATGGTTATGGGAAGTGGGCTGGAGGTGTTACGAAACAGAACTGTATACATTGGTGGGGGAAGGTTCTTGCTTAGGCTTCTATCCTATGATATGCACAGCCGCAATTCTTTATCAAAATATGTCAAGGTCAATGGACAGAGGCCTTATCACCACCTGGAGATGCCCACATGATGCTATACACAACTTTTAATTGGATGAGCCAATTGAATTATTGGGGGGCGGGAACGTTGCCATCACTTTGTATATGTGATTTATGCGCTCATTTTCTCAGATCCAGAATTCTTTTGTTGCTACCCCTTGACTTCCAGTAAAAGATACCTTTTCTCTAATTAATGGAGTCCAAGTATTTCTTTCTTGGATTTTGAATACAGCACCATCTGACAGACGGTGGCGGATCATTTCCGATAGGATTCTGCCGTCTGGAACCAGATGTGTTCCACCGTCTCTTGGCCCATCTCGACCAGCATCATCAAATGCTTCCACCCGGTTTTGGCTGTGATCATTAAATACTCCTCATTCTCGGGGTACAGGAGGGTGGTGTGAGCGGCAACCACGAGCGACTGGGCGTATCTCCCACACACCAGAAGAAACAGGCTGGCTCGCTCTTCCGGGGTCAAAGGAACCACGCTTTCAAACCCTGCCAGGATGTGGCCGCCCACCGAAAGAGGGTCTTTGCTTTCGATCATCATGTACATGATGGCGATGGCGACTTCAAACACGTAGTAGCCGTAACTCATGTCGCTGAAGTCCAAAATCCCAGAGATTCTGTACTGCGGATTGGGAGGGGAGGCGGAAACCACGTCAACTAGAATGTTGTGGTCGTTGAGGTCCCCGTGATTGATACCTAAACGGAGGAAAGAGAAGGTCAGTCGAGGCTACCTTGGATTGTGAAGTTGAGGGATGTCTGTGCTTCTCTCATGTCACAAGGCAGTTTAGGGAGGGCTTAGTGAGGCATGGACCTTTTCTCACCTATTCTGGTGATTAAGGCTACAATCAGTTGTGGGGAAAAAACAGCAGAGAAGGAGATTGATTGATTTATAGTTTGTATTTCTTAACTGCCCATCTTCCTCAAAGAGATTTAAATTAATTTAATTCAGCCTTGGAAGCATCTTCTGGAAAGGAAGGGTCACTTGGCAGTGGCCCTTGCTTGAGAAGTGATCTGTCTGTCTGTCTACTGTATCTATCTACTGCAACTATCTATATCTACCTACCTACCTACCTATGTCTCTGTTTCTATATCTAACTATCCTCCCATCTAATTTGCATAGCTGCCCATCGTACAATAGGGAAACATCACACTGGAGGTGGTTGGTAGATTAATAACAGATCTCACCACCTCCTCTTCTGTTCAGCCTATTCCTTCCCCCCATCTTTTAGTTTTATTTATAGCTGATAATTTGTATTTTAGGGTGTTTTGCTCTTCTTGTACACATATTGTATTGTTTTTAAATTGTAAGCCACACAGAGTCACCTTGTGGTTAATAAATAAATAAATAAAATAAAGAAGGAAAGGACAGAAAGAAAATGAAAGGAGAGAAAGAGAGAGAGAGAAAGAGAGAGAGAGAGAAAGAAAGAAAGAAGGAAGGAAGGAAGGAAGGAAGGAAGGAAGGAAGGAAGGAAGGAAGGAAGGAAGGAAGGAAGGAAGGAAGGAAGAGCCTCACAATAATTAAAACAGAAGCAGGTTGTTTCTCCAGCTTGCCATGGCTAAAGGAAAATCAAGAGTGATCTCATCATAACTAAATAAAAATACTTACAGGATCGAAATAAGCTCAGTTTTGGAATGACGTTAACTTGGAACTGCTCAATCACCTGTTTCACTGCATCCAGATATTCGCTCTTGCCAAGAGCATACAAGTATTTTTTCAGAAGAGGAACATTTGACAGATTCCAGATAAATTCACCCCTGTGTAAGCTTTTTATCAATGGATGCTGGAATTTCTTTGAAGTGAAAAGAAAACACAATAAATAAATCATTTTTTGCTAGGATAATGGACATATCTTTGGACTGATAACATCATTTCAGAGGGATTAACTGCAGTTTTATTGTCCTAATGCAGCAGTTAGTATGGATACTCTTGTTCCTGAATCCCACTGATAAATCCCAAGTTATACATATTTTATCAAGACAGTATTAAAACATCAACGAAGCCCTAATATCTTGGGTTCTCTATTCCTTATTTGTCTGGCTAGAGTCAGACTGTTGTAATTATTGAATAACTAACTGAAATATATATATTGCAGGAGTATCCAGTGTTGCCATTTTAAGAACTGTGGACTTCAGCTCCCAGAATTCCTCATACAGCTATGTTGACTGGAAAATTCTGGGAGTTGAAGTCCACAGGGCTTAAAGTGGCCAACGTTAGACACCCCTAATATAAAAGTATGGGTTACAACAGCAAGCTTCTTGTATTAAATTTCCCATACACCTTCTCTATAAAAAGCCGCAAAGTCTCCCAAATCAAATTCTACCAATGGTCTAACATGGAAATAAATTCCCATTTCTTTTCTTCTTTAAAGCCCCCTCGTACATCCTCACCTCTGCCAGCGTTTTATCGAGCTTGGCTGCCATCTGTCCAATGTCGTAGAGAACTGGAGGAGTCACGGGGAGAGTGGCTACAGTTTTGCCTGGCAAATAGCTCAACAACCTCACCACAAACGTCTGGGTGCAGAATCCAGTATCTTAAGAGGCAAAAAGAGACTTTAGATTACTAGTCACTTCACAGCTATTGCCCAACTGAGATGCATTCTCTATGGGGGAAAAAACTTCTTGGTAAATATTTACCGTTAAAAAGCACACATGGAATATTACACGATCCTATCCAGGCAATTCCTTGAGTGATGATCATAAGGGAATCAGTCTATTATGGTTGTAAATCATAATGCTTGTAAAATGGGTTAGTCACATGACCAATTTATTTTATGACATCTATGCAGTCGTCATTAAGCAAACCAATGGTTTACTATAGGCACAGTTTTGCCCAAAACTAGAAGTGCCCTATGGCTTTTTCCTAGTTATCTTCTTTCTCAATTTGGACCCTGAAGCAGCCAAAACAGAATCAAAGGAGGATTTAACAGGTTTGGGAAAAGCTGAAAGATTAGAAGACGTACCAACCAATCTATAAGAACAAACCCTAGCGCTGATGATGTTCCCTAGTTGGGTAATGAAATGTTTGCAAAAAAAAAAAAAACCCAACCAAGCTCAGAGAGTACCAAGAGTCCCACAGAACACAACAGCCTAATCAAGGAAGCACCAAGACCACCCCAAGCCACACTGAGAGACAAAGGCACTGTATATAAACACAGAGCAAACCCTATCCCCAATTAAGCACGGATGGTATTCCCTCGTTGGGTAATAAAACGTCTAGAGGGAAACAACCAAACTCAGAGAGCACCAAGGAACTCACAGGACAAATTATATTAAGGAAGGAAAACAACTTCCAGAGAGAAGTTAGTTAGGATTACATAATAGTTATGTAATGTGTAGTTATGCATTCTTGATGCAAACAGCAGTTGTTTTGAAAAATACAACAAGATAAGAAGCAGCAAAGGGCACTTTCATTCCTTTTCAAAAACTACTGGACTTTCTTAGTTTTTTTTTCCCTTCAAAACGTTTCGCTTTCTTCAATTTCTCAAGGAAAAAACTAAGGAAGTTCAAGTTCCTTTTGGAAATAGTAATAAGTAATAAGTCATGTTTGGGACAAACCTGACTCGTATGAGGGAGAATTTCCACAGACAAAAGGCAACATTTGAAGGCCAACAATACACCCAGTTCCTCACCTACTGTTTCCAGAGACATCACCTTGCCGTCTTGGGTGAGATGGGGCGTGGGCAGAGGAAAACCCTCACCACTCAGAAACATCATGATCTGGGTCTGAACCTCAACAAGATCTGAATTCTGGCTGTCTTCAGCATTTATAATTTTGAGGACAAAGTCCCCAGAGCTTTCTCCTGTCCCTGGGAACGAAGCGGCGGCCACGTGGAAGTTCTGATCATCGTAGCTTGGCAGCGATCTGAGCCGGGAGACTTCCAGTCCAAATATCCTTCGGACCAGTTCGGTGGCTTGCTTTTCGGTGAACGTTGGCTTAATCAGGGGGCGAGGCTGTGGCGGCAGTGGCTGCTGTTCTCCAGAAGACATGGCGCATCTAAAGAGGAGCAAGAGAACAGCTGAGTTTCTTTCCCCGTACTTGTCAGGAGCTGCAACTGCAAAATTGCAAAGCCAAAGTCCAAAGTTGGGGTCTGCAGAATTCTGGGAGTTGAAGTCTACCCATCAGAAAGGTGCTAAATTGACAAATACACTGATGGGAATCACGGTTGCTATTTGTTGTTCCAAAAACACAAGCTATGCAAATAGGCTCCTTGATTAGTCCTTTATTAAGAGAGGCAAGTCATATGTGATTTAGCCTTATGTATAGAGTGGCATTTTTAAACTATCTAACTTACTATAGGTTTTAGACTAGGTTTTTAATTATTATTTTAATTATTTTAATTTTTTAAATACTCTGTAGTGTGATTGTGATGTGGTGTTTGGGACACTGTGCTGGAGTAGCTTTCAAATTTCATTGTATTTGTAGAATGCAATGACAATAAAGGTATATTCTCTTCTTTAAAAAGTCATATTATCTATCATCTATCTATCTATCTATCTATCTATCTATCTATCTATCTATCTATCTATCTATCTATCTATCTTCTCTCTCTCTAATCTATCACATCTCTTTTCTCTCTCTCTCTCTAATCTATCAATCTAATCTATCACATCTTTCTTCTCTCTCTCTAATCTATCAATCTATCACATCTTTCTTCTCTAATCTATCTCATCTCTTTTTCTTCTATCTCTCTCTAATCTATCTCCTCTCTCTAATAAATCTAACATCCATCCATCCATCCGTCCATCTATCTATCTATCTCGAATGTAGCCTTTTAAAGGTCTGTTGGAAGCAAATAGTTCTCTCCTGGAAGGCCAGAATTTCTGTTTGAAGCTCAAATCTGATCCCTTACCTGGGCAATATAGGTGTTTAAACTTCTCCACCTTAAGCCAGTTGTGCAAGGAAAGGAGGGTCGTCCCTTTGTCAAAGTCCGCAGGGAGCTGCTGAAATGTTTTTCAGGCGTGCGTGCAATCTAAATCAAAGCAGCATGCAATATTTTCTTCCCAGGTGGAGCAGTACGGCAGCCGGACGTACAGTGCCAGGAGTAAAATAATCCTAAAAAAATTCAACTGCATTCACGAGTTACGAGAAATCCGTCCTTCCAAGCCACAGTCCGCGTGGACATCCGCTGCCGTCCAATCAAAGGAAGGCTTAGAAGTTGGTTTCGCGTCGCCTGGGACCGTTTGTAAGGAGGCTTCCAATTGGCTGTAAGGAAATTCCCCCCCCGCCTTTTTTTTTTCTGATCCCGAGACTGATGATTTTATTCCTCTCTCAGTGTATTTATTGATGCCAGTTATGATTTTTATTCAAATCACATTAAAAAGCCCAAATTGAACAGGCTTTCATCTGGAGCGTAAATATCTTTTTCCCATCCACGACTTTTAAAAGGGAACTTTACACCTGAAGAGTTAAGTCTGAAGCTTGCATTGCTCTTCCTATTTTTTAGCAGTTCTGCTCTTTTTTCTCCTTTTTTCATCGGTCTGCAATTTCTGCAGAATTGCAAAGTCTGTTTAAAGTTTTACGGCAGTGCTTTTAGGAACTTCAAGAAAGTGTGGAATTCTGGGAGTTGGGAGTCCACACTTCTTAAGAGTTCCCAAGGTTAAGGGTTAAACCCAACTTTTTCTAGATGGTTATGGTTTTCGTAGGTGCTCAAATGCTGCACGGACGCTTTGTGAAAAGCTGACCTTTTCACAACCTTGTAATCCAGGACAGTAGATGGGTTTGCACAGGCTATTAACACGATTTGATTTTGAAGTATTGCGTAAAGCCAACTGATTCACTAAATTAAGATGTGCGATTTTGGTTGCTGGGCAAATCCAGAGCCAATTAAGAAATTCAGTAAATCGCGGTTAAGCAAAGTCATGCTAAATGAGGGAGGATCCCAAATTTACACTTCCCTTTCAAACTCTCAAGAGGAGAGATTATCAAGATAATATTCTGAATATAACAAAAGGGATTTAAACTTCTATAATCAGCAGATGAAATGAATGTAAAGAAAAGCCAATTGAGATTTCAGGCGAGAGATTTGCTGTCAAGATTCAACTGAACATTATAGGGAGGCTCCAGACCATTGTAATGATGCATGTACGTTCTCTGTTCAGAAATGATTAACTGGGTTATTTGAACGCCAAGACCAAATCTAATTTTGAAGAATTTCAAGGAAGAATCTTGTCTTCCTTATTTGGAGTGAGTGAAAGATTGGAAATTTCCAGCGGCTTGATCCCTAGGTAGTCCCTTCTCTTTCAATGAATCTGAACAGACACGATTGTTTGTATCTCTTTGCATGGAGGCAGTTTAAAATTTGTCAATTCATACAAAGTGATGTTTGCCAGTCCTGGTTCATGACACCTTTTCAACATCACAAACTTTTTAGGAGGCGACGAATGTCGTTAGGTCATCTTTCCATAACCATGGCGATCGCTTTCGCTGACCTAGAGTCCCCTTGAATATTTGCCAAAAAGTAGGTGTTTTCTTTTTTTAAAAAAGGCTGCCACCTGAGACATGGTACAACTTTTCTTTATTAAAAATAATTTACATCAGTTTAACATTTTATGCACAATTGTCAGCAAAGTCAACTTTTGTCTTTTCAGAGGTCTATACAATACTTGAGTGAATTGAAAACCATCGTAGACCTTTTGACATTGGCTTGAATTAGAAGGTGCAGTGGCTCGTGTGAGAATAATAGAATGCAGGTATTATTTTGCTGTGTGTAATAGATTAAAAAACCTCCCTCTCCTTGGTAACAATCTAATCAACGGCTCAAGTTATGGTTCTTTTTCAGAAGTCGAACCGAAGAAAGGATGAGAAGAACCAAACATGTTTCCAAGTTTTTTGTGCACTGCCAATATGAAAAATAATTTGGATAGCTGGTTTTGCTTCCAATATACACAGATCTACTGTCAGTATCTAAATCATTATGCTTTTCTAGGTTTAGAAAGGGATTTAATCCATGTAAGCCTGGATTTTCAAGTTTTAGAAGCCACCCCATTCTCGTCCAAAGCTGTCTGAAATCTTCTTTGAGATTTGGTCAGCTCAAGGCTTTCTGCTTTTTAAATAAATGAAAATTTACCAACGTGAGTCAGGAGGGTTATAAAGACTCGCTGCCAAGCTCTATGGTGGTTCACACGTTATGTCCATCTCCCATTCAATCTATTTATAGTCAGTTCTCCCCAGGTGTTCCTAGGAGATTAAAGCTTTTTTCTTCTAAGGATAGCATTGCAACCTCCAAAATATTATCTTTTGAATGTAAGAGGAAAAAGCGAAGCCATGTCAGTGAGTTTGACCAAAGGTGGACAACTATGGCTACTTTATGACCTGTGGACTTCATCTCCCAGAATTCCTGAGCCAACATGGCTGAGGAATTCCGGGAGTTGGAAGTTCATACAGTTCCCAGAATTGCACCTATCCAGGTTTGACCTAAAATATAGATCATAATCTGAACTTGACATCTGGAGTCCTGCAATCGGACAGATTTTCTAACATCTATAGACCAGAATCATTAGACAGGTGGGGTCACACGTATCATGTAACAAGAACAGTCACCTGGGTTGGAGGGAGGGGAAGTTGGTTATCTGAACCCACCAATTTGAAAGAATGTCAGATATCAGCACCTAGATAACGGATGGAGGTCATTCGTAGATGATGCTTGGCTTCACATTACTGTCAGATTACTAAAAAGGTCAACAGTGTCTCCCCAGTTAGAAGCTTTGAAAGAAAAGTGAAATTGGAAGTGCCGTTTGGGGGATTCCAAACTTGGCACCTTTAAGACTTGTGGACTTCAACTCCCAGCAGGACTGGCTGAGGAATTCTGGGATTTGAAGTCCACAAGTCTTAAGGTGACCAAGTTTGGGTTAGAGGACCGTGGGGTGTATCTATAAGGCACCCTGGCTTTGAGGACATGCATTTTACTTGAGAGGAGAGGAGAACAGTGCCTTGAACCTAAATACAGAAGATGCCTGGAAGCTGAAAAAAAATAATTTAGATACCAAAAGTGAGATATTATTTTTTTGCCATTTGTGATAGTCAAGACAGAACTTCCAGCATTTCATTGAAATCGGAGAAAAATCATTCAATAATAAAGGAAAGATACCAGTAGTAAAACTATAAAGTGGCAAACATAAGCACAGCTGATATGGTAGAAAAAATATGGGCTCCAAAAAAAAATGTCTATGATTATAGATTAAAGAGAGCTTGTTGGAAAAACACCAAAGGTTCAAAAGGACTGAACAGAAAGAAGGTTCCACAGACTTTTATTGCTGCCTCTGTACTCCATATTTCTAATCATTTGGCCTCAAAAGAAAATCTAGTAAGTGTGAAAATGAATTTGTTTTTCAGAACTTCAGGATACTTTTAGCCAGATAGAATTTACTAGAAGTACTTATTCTATTACATGGGGTCTGTTTGGTTTAATCAAAAACCCAGGTCTATAAACAACTTAAGTAGAAAAGATTTTTTTAAATGAGCTTGGGATATTTCCACTACAGAATTTCTTGTGAATAATAAACCAAAAATTACTGTAAACATCTGGGGAACTTAAGAAATTCTTGCTCCTCAGAATAAAGTCATTACCGCTATCCCAAATAAAATCATTTTGGAAAGAACAGAATGATTAGAAGAAAACTGAAGAAGACTCATTTTATAAACCCAACAGGTTTTGTTCACTGCACAAACCGAAGAGAAGAAGCAGGAATTCTTCTCTGTTCTCATGAGGAGCAGAGAAAACTGCTCAACTTCTTTTAACAGCCAAAGCCCAATTGAGGATAACAGGGTGATGTTTGGACAAAATAAATCCAATTAAATTCCATGATAGCTATTTGTCAGGACAGCTAGAGAGCTGGAGAGATCACTGCCAGCTTCTGTTTGGAAAACATCAATTTCCCCCAATTGCATTTCAGTTTTGGAATTTTTCAAACCAAGATTTTTGCCTGGGAGAGTATCCAGACTCCCAGAAATTTCTACCTGCTGAGGCCACTGCACCGTTCCACTTTTCTGGAAGGCACCAAATAGGACAGGGATGGGCAACTATGACAATGTTACGAGTGGCGGACTTCAACTCCCAGAATTCCTGAGCCAGGAATTCTGGGAGTTGAAGTCCACAGGCCATAAAGCTCCCATAGTTGCTCAGTCCTGAAATAGGGGAATGCGGGTTAAAAAAACTCATACTGGCTATTAAGCCTTCCTTAAACTTTCTAGCGGGTGGCCAATACCATGAACTAGATAGATCTAAGGGTGGTGGGGGTTTTTTTTTCTTCATTTTCAGAATCGGGGATCCTCCGAATTTTAAAATAAGTAATCATATATCATTAAGCCATGTGCTATGCTCAAATCAAGAAACAGCGGTAGGAAGTGAAAAGGGGGAAAGAAAAAGTAATGAAGGGAGGAAAGAACTGCAGGGAATCTGGCTTCAAATCTTCACAATTCATTTTCGGATTTCACATAATTTATATACAAAAATGGTCTAAGATGAAACCCTCCCAACCCTTCCCTCATACTTACAGATCTCTTTTCACAACACACAGACACGTCAACATCTAATAATGTCAATAGCACCATTCGGAGTATTTTAAAATCCAGGAGGACCTCGCTGCGGCCACTACAACAATTTCACAATCTTTTACATCCATGGACAGTTATCTGAGCACAATGGGGCTTGTCAGCAGTTCCAACGGGAGAGGAAGGCTCGCGCCGAGGTCTCCAGAGGCTGGCGGGGCCGGCAGTCCTCCGTGGTGGGGAAAAGGGCTTTACAATAGCTTTACAACAGCCTTCGGACCATGTAGTTCAGCATGCCACCGTGTTTGTACAAGGTGATTTCCACATCACTGTCAAACGAGGCAGCCACGTGGAATGCTTTGCCGGTACTCGTCTTCGGAAGAAGGAACAAAGAAACAGAAAGATAAACTCACAGGTCAGTGCAAGACTTTTGTCTTTTCCAGGGATTCTAAAATTTGGAACTGGATTCCCACCAGTTGCTGCTGACTAGACTACATGGATTCTGCGAATAACCTGTTGCTTCCAAAACAATAATAATACATTCAATGAAGGAAATGTTGAAAATTCTCATCTAATTTCATAAATTTTACAATGGCTATGATAACGCTCTATCACTATTGTTGTATGTACACTGAGAGCTTATGCACCGAAGACAAATTCCTTGTGTGTCTAATCACACTTGGCTGATGAAGAATGTCTGTCTGTCTGTCTGTCTGTCTGTCTGTCTGTCTATCTATCTATCTATCTATCTATCTATCTATCTATCTTCTATCGATCGATTAACTATACACTCACTTGCTCTGAAAGTGAGATGGGCAGTCTCTAAACTTAATAAATATAAAATAAAGCTTGTCAACAACCTGCTTATTTACTTTGTGTCTCATTTTATTTTTCCTTTTCTCACTCTTTCCCCCACTTTCTTATCAAAAAGTCTTAATATAATGAAATATAATGAAAGCAAACATCCCCAAATATCAAATATTGCATGGAACCACACAGTGAAGTAAAAAGCGGATACCTTTACACGCAGGGTGATTCCAGGCGATAACTCTTGAGGGAAGAAGATTGAAAACTGTTCTTTGCCAGTCAGGCCCAAAGACTGCGCGCTCTCCCCAGGAAGGAACTGAAGAGGGGCGATGCCCATGCCAATCAAGTGACCTTTGTGGATCTTTTCATAGCTTTCGGCAATCACTGCTTTCACTCCCTGTGGGGGAAAAAAAATTCAGATGCTCTCTGTTCATTCAGCAGTTATTTCTCTAAATCCGGGAGTCTAAGTTTTAAGATGAAGAATCTGAGTTTTCTGGAAGAGCTAATAGAGAGGAGGAAAAATAGAAACGTTGGGACTTTTATCTAGTTTGAGCCTATTTGCAATATTAAGGATTAAGAGAACCCGTCTCCAGGAATAGCGGTGCCTCCTGGCACTGTACTAGACTCCAAAATATAAGCAACCATGTTTAAAAGAAACAGAGGAAACATATACTTATAATTACATATACTCCTCCTATTGCAATAAATTATAAATGCAGCAATTATTACAGCCTAACCCACTGGGATTATCTGTCCCATAAACCATTATTTACAATATTTACATTTAAACCATGAATTCAGACTATATTTTCTTAAGTGGAGCTTGCTTAGAGTCGCTTTATAAAATGGGCCGTCTCTAAATCTGTTATACACAGATTTGCCCATTTTACAGTTATCAGTCTCTAAATTTGATATATAAATAGATCTGTCCATTTTACAGTGATCAGTCATAGACTGTTGCTCAAGACGAGTTTGTACATTTTCAAGAGAGAGAGAGAGAGAGAGAGAGAGAGAAAGAGAGAGAGAGAAAGAGAAACAGAGGAACAATTTGTGTTCTGCAAAATGAAAGGCGGCAGTTTCCCCGAAGAAATCTAGCAGGGCGAAGTAATGAAGACTTCCGGGACATGATGATGAGGATTTTAAATAAAAATGGAATACCATCAGAAAGGGCCCTTTGGCAGCCCAGTCCCTTGAGCTGCCCAATCCATACTTCTTGCCGGCTAAGATAATCAGAGGGATGTTTTCTTTCCGATATAACTCAGCAGCATCAAACACGTCCAGCTGCAATGAAGACAAAAGAGCCAGGTCAAGAGATACTCATGGTGGTTAGGTAACCGATAAGGACTTCCTTTCAAGCTACATCCTCACCGTCTGTCCTGTTGGGAAGTGGATTGTTTTAGGAGCCGGCTTGCCGATGAATTTATTCAAAAGCTTGACGTTGGCAAAGGTGCCTCGTGTCATCACAGCGTCGTTGCCCCGACGGGCCCCATAGGAATTGAACTCGCGGGGCGTGAGGCTAAAAGAGAGAGAGAGAGAGAGACCACTGAGGATATTCAGTGTGGAATGTGGAAAAGAGTTTCTGCATTCGCGTTGTTTAAAAGAGGGTTTCTTGCATACTCATGAATGCTAGTTATGAGTAGAAAGTGAAGACGCCATCTCAGTTCTGTGCATAAATATCTGTCCCCAGCCTTTCTCCCTAATTAAGTTTTCGTCTGTTGCTCTGTATTAATTATACAATACAGGCTGTCCTTGCTTATTGACCGGTTGTTTAACCACCATTAGAAGTTCCGAAAGACAACTTCCAACTCAATTTCTAAGTTCTGATGTCCTCCCCCCACCTCTGGACTCACTTAACAACTGTGGCGTTCACTTAAAAGCCACCTCAAAAAAAGGCCATAAAATCAGGCCCAGGCACACAGTGACCTGTTTAATGACCGCCGCTCAGAACTACAATTCTGGTCATAAGTCAAGGACTAGCTGTTACAGAATTCGGACCTAGTCGTAGAAGAACCTCATAAAGGGAAAATTTATGGCGAATTCTGGCCTGTAAAGCTGAAGCGCATTTGGCTAATCCTATTTAGCAATTAAGGAGGCCTACTCTGTCTTCACTGCTGTCAGAAAAAAGAAATTGCTGACCATGAACTAAAAATCCTGCTCTTCTTCCTCCTCCTTTTAAGACTCCCCCCTCCCCCACTCCCGGAGGGCCTTACCCCTTATTCATCAAATATCTCGCCGCAGCACTTCCCCTGGCAATGCTTCCGGCGGGTGAGACGTGATCGGTGGTGACCGAGTCTCCCAAATTCAACAAGACGTGGGCGTTTTCGATGCACTGGAGGGGAGGCGGGTTTCTGGCCTGAAAAGAGACAAGACTGAGCACCTGGCGTGCTCCGAATGGACGTTCCCGCCTAGGGCCAGCCCACTTACAAGCTTATCAAAAAAGGAAGGGCATCGGATGTAGGTCGACTTCAAATCCCAGGTGAACAGAGTAGACTCGGGGGCTTCCAGGGAGTTCCAGCGCTTATTTCCTTTCTGGGGAAACGAGAAGGAACCGTTTTCGTCAGTGTTTCCCCAAACGGTATAACGCCTGTCTCTAATTAAAGGAAGTGATAAGGCTACCTCCATTTTTATTTTCAGTTCTTTAAACATGGACGCTATCACAAACTCCTCTTCGATCTGCTGAAGTTCTTCCCGAGAAGGCCAAATATCGTGCAGGAAGATATTTCTGCCATCCGGATTAAGCCCTGTAAGAAATTGGATAACGGGGGAGATAATGGTCAGGGAACACAGGGAATCAGGGGTCCCCAACTCTCTGGCTGTGGACCAGCTGTCATGCCCTTGGTAGAGGCGGACTCTGAGTGGAGGTGTGGCTCTGGAGGTTGTGGAGGAGGCTGGGGAAGGGCACAAGTCCGGCTGGGCAGTCAGAGGGAGAACCAGGCCCAAGCCCTCTTCATCCTAGGGCACGCAGGGAGGAACAGAGAAGGAAACAACTTGGCTTATGAGAGAGGAAGCGGCCATGATCCCTCTCATTGGTTGCAGCTGGGGAGAATAGTATATAAGAGAGACGGTTAAAACACAGCTTTGCCAGAAGCAAAGTGTGTTTTATTTTGGTCTGAAGTTAACTTGGTTGGCGTCCTTCCAACAGATTGTGCCTCCTGGAATTTGGTAATTACTTATCCTGGTCCGTTGTGGAAATTTCTTCATTGTAGTTTGTTTGGTTTTTTTATTTCACCGCTATCTGCTCATTAAGTTCGGACTGTATTGCTTTCTTTTGAAGACTATTTTTGAGTACGTTTTATCTCCAACTGAGTATTATTGAACAGTGGGGACAAGTTGGAGGCATTAAAGGACATTTATTTTGTTATGTTTGTGTTACACTCTGGGTCATCACACCAGCATTGGTCCGTGGCATGCCAGAAATCGGGCCGTGCAAATGAGCAAAGCCCCACCTGTGGGATGCAGGCAGCACATGAAACCATGCCCCTTCCAGTCTGTGGAAAAACCTCTCAATGGATCCAGTCCTTGGTGCCCACAAAGTTGGGGGCCGCTGTCATAGATGGCCCTTTTGAGAGTTTTTGTGAAGTCCTTGGTGCTCTCTGAGTGGGGCTGTTTGCATGAAGACATTTCTTTACCCGACTAGATAACATTATCAGTGCTCTGGTGGTGTTGATGGTCCCTTAATGGTGATCATCAAGCACTGATCATATTACCTAGTTGGGTAATGAAATGTCTGCAAGAAAACCACCAGACAGCATTAAAGACTCCATAGTTCCACCCTGAACTACAGATATTCTCTTCCACGGAGAGCTTTTGTATCAGATGATGTTGGGATACAGATTTGATGGCACAGCAACTGCTAACAAACCAGATTCCTGTATTTAATCGCCCAAAGAGCCCTAAAGAACAGGGCTTTCTCTCTTATATAAGAGAGCCCTATAACGACATCACTTTGATAACAAATACAAGCTAGACCCAGATTATTGGGGGCAACATCCTGACCCTGTAAACCGCTTGGAGAGGGCTGTAATGCACTGGGAAGTGGTATATAAGTCTAAGTTCTATTGCTAGATGAATGCAAACGATTACCTAGTGGTTCGGTCTGGAAATCAATATTCACAGTTCCTGCAATTGCATAAGCAACAACCAGAGATGGAGAAGCCAGGTAATTGGCACGGATACAGCTGCAGAGGCGGCCTTCAAAGTTTTTGCTTCCGGACACGACACCACACGCAACCAACTCACCCTGAACATGACAAATGGAAAGAGAACAAAATGGGATTTTCTCTCTCGATATTCTCAAATCTCTTCTAAACTTCCTTATTATTCAAGCCACAGAACTCGTTACTAAGCCCAAAACTATTAAATGCTGGCAAATTTTAGTTTTATGTATTTATTGGTTGGTTGACTATGGCAGGATTAGAACTCACCGTCACATGGTTTCTAGCCTGGTGGGTTAACCAGGGGATTGCTAAAACAATCCTTTCTAGTTTTAAGGTCATTGGTGTCCCAGTTAAACAAGATCTGCTCTCCCCACGCCACCCCTACCAGGTTAATGAGCAAGGACAACATCTGCACTCCTTCTTTACAATAAACACCCACCTATCAAAGGACGGCGTTTCCAAAATGCGAAAGTCTATTTGGGTATATCATGAAGTAAAGCTCACCTGTACAATTGCGTTCTGAATGGCTTCCGGCAAAGGGGCAGTGTTCCCCACACAGGTGGAACAGCCGTAGCCGATGACCTCAAACCTAGAGGGAAAAGCAGGAAATTGTAGTTCTGGGATCATTCACATTTTCAATAAACAAAGCATTGGTCAAATCTAGGGAAGGGCTGCTCTGCACATCTGGGGCTTCCAGGTGGGAATCACTAAGGCAGTGATTTTCAGCCCTGGCCACTTTTAAGATGGGTGGACTTCAACTCCCAGAATGGCCCAGCTAGCGTGGCCACTCCCAAGAATTCTGGGAGTCAAAGTCCACTTACATGGAATTGGGAAAAAACTACTCCGAAGGAAAGAGATTCTGCTCAGTGGTAAGACAACCCCTCTTCTTCATTTTAAATTAAACAAAAAAGGAGCAGGTGGAATCTTCTCTGCTAAGGCTAACAAAGGGTGAGGCAAAGCATGTGAAAAAGCAACATAAATATTAAGAGCAAGAATAGAATAGAACTTTATTATGGTCTTAGACCAGCAACAGACATCACTATTTACAATATATAAAAAAACGGTACTGACACATTATAATACATTAATAGTGGATAAAAACATCCCTTTTAAGAAAATACATGTTCTCAAACAGCTAGGGTCACTCCCTGGTTTATATGAGTGGAGAGCTAATAAGTATATGTGTAAATATCATTTTTCAAAGATTCTTCTATCTCCCAAAATTGGCACAAATAGACGGCTATAATTCTGTAACCATTTTTTTTCTTGTAGACATGGCAGCAACACAGAATTTTGCCACGGCATGCGTAATAGCCGGGTTTGAGTCCTGGAGGAGAAAGTCTACATAAAAATTGCCTACCCTCCCTGGCAATCTCTCTAGGAAGGGGAGAATATACAACGACCAATAAACTCTGTGTATAACTTGCAGTACAATAAAACATGTGAGGTATCTTCAATTTGCCCTTTACCACATATATATATACCCGTTCTGCTATTGGTGTTTTCTTATACCTGCCCTGAAGGAATGCTGAGGGGAGAATATTAATTCTGGCTCTGAAGAAAGCTATTCTTTGTTTTGGGAAAATATGAAGAGCAAAGAAAGTAGTACCCAAGCTTATTGAGGTATGGTAATACACCGCTGGAACTGAGATAATGGGTGACCATTCCACTTCCTGGCGACAGGCTGGTTCTTATGTACGGTTTCACAGCCAGGCCGGCTTCAGTGGCTTTTTTAGCCAATAAACCTAATGGGAAAAAGGAAGACACTGTTACAATAAGGTCATTGACTGTCTTTTTTTTTTTTTTTGCTTTTCCCAAATGATGGGTCCTCGCACTTGTGGCCAACCCTCGCATTTACAACCATCATGGCATCCCCACGATCACGTTTAACGCTGGACAATTGGCACGTGTTTGTCCCAGGGTCACGGAATCGCCATTTGTGACCGTCCCCAGTCAGCCACGGAGGTAGCCAAGATTTGCTTAACAGCGGACACAATTTGCTTCGCAACGGGCACTGATTCGCTCAACCGCTGTGGCCATGAAGGTCATAAATTCAGGCGGAACTTCCTTCAACCACTGCAGTGCTTAGCAATGGAAATTCTGCTCCCGATTGCAGTCGTATGTTGAGGACTATCTGCCCCACAATATGATGTAGAACAGTGGTGGCTAACCTTTTTGGGCTCCTGTTCCAAAAATTATGTGCGCATTTGCACATGCCAGCACCCAGAAGGCAATGCACGTGCCCCCCCTGCCCTCTGCGTGCGCAATCCCCCCGCCGCCCCCTTACCTGCACTGCGCCTCCCAGCTGATTTTCAGCCCATTTGAGGCCTTTTTCAGCCTTCCAGAGGCTTGAGGAAAGCTTCTGCAGCCTTTGCAGGCTGAAAAATGGGCCCATTTCATCACTTCCGGTATTTCCGGAAATACAGGAAGTGACGAAACGGGCCTATTTTTTTTGGCCTGCAAAGGCTTTCCTCAAGCCTCTGGGAAGTCGAAAATCAGCTGGGAGGCGCGCGCATGCGCAGTGAGGTAATTCTGCCTGTGGCATGTGTGCCCTAGGTTCGCCATGGCGGATGTAGAATGTTCAAGATCCCGTACCTGCTCCTAGCATCGCGGAGGGATTGCAGTTGTTGGTGCAGCTGATGACAGCAGCAATGACGACTGACCCGTGAGCCAGCTGGTACTCGTTGCCTTCATATTCGACAGGAACGATGCGGCCCTGCTTCTCGGTGGGAATCTGAAAGCCTCTGAAGCCAACCTACGGGATCAAATAGTGGTTGCAGAGTCAACCACATGTTCCTAACTGTTGGGAAGTTTAGAAGGGAGACACCAGAACGCTTGGGACACGTACGGGTGTTGATGTTGCACAGTCAAACCCTTAAGCAAAAATTGAAAAGGCCACAAATGGTTTAATTTGGATTGGAAAATCTGCACCACCTACTTCGGTTACGATGGGTTTTGGAGAAGCAGTTAATAATGGACGATTCTCAACATTCGGTCATAAATAGAAGGGCTACATTAAGAAGAACACACTCCCTACATCTATTGTACTCAAATCTGAAAAGCTGCATTTGGAGCAGTGTTTCTCAACCTTGGGCCACTTTAAGATAGGTGGACTTCAACTCCCAGAATCCTTGGCCACTTTAAGATAGGCAGACTTCTACTTCCAGAATTCTGGGACTTGAAATCCACCTATCTTCAAGAGTCCAAGGTTGAGAAATAGTTCTCTACTCAGTCCTTATAATCTTCAAAACTTCCCAACTGATAGGAAACAGCTTTCAATAAGTAGAAGGGGATTCTCCTGCCAAGATTTAAAAACAGCCAGATGGACTTTCAAACTGTACCTACCTTTTCACGTAAGCATGCTTGAAAATCGGTCTTCATATTGGTTACAGCCACTCTATCTTGGGCCCTTTTGGGACCGCTTACATACGGTGTTATAGAATCCAGGCTTATAGATATTATCTGATGGAGGGAAAAACCGTTTAGTTAGTTGTAACTTCACAACTGATTTTGTGCACTGATGTTGGGCTTTTAAAACAAGCAAGCCAAAAGCAAGGATAATTAGTATATACCGACAAACAGTTCTGAGGACAGGAACTGGCATAAAAAAAGGAAGCATCTTGAATTCCATAGAATGATGGTTTGTATATTATTGGAAAACACATGCTTTAGATCAATTACTTAAATACTGGCATTTATTTAAAATTCCAAGTGGTATTCTATACTAAGACAGCTCAAGTCTTTGCAGGATCAACATATATTCCCTTTCCAACAATTTTCCAACAAAGAGCACACTAGTTTGAAAAAAAAGAAAGTAAAATCCCTTGGGGGAGAGGATTTTTTTTTTTAAATTCCTTTGAATAAAAAGGCATTTTTTAAGGAAAAAGCACAGCAAACACAACAACTTTAAAAAAGACTGGCCCGTTTTGTACTTACTTGAGAATATTCAGGTTCCTTAGCAGAATACTGGTGATTTCTAAACAGTTTCACTGTTTTAAGATACGTCTCCATGGACTTGAGTTTGGCGTCATCAAAGCCTATGAGAAAAATTCGAAAGCTTGATCCTATCTCCAAAGACGGAGAAACTCATTAGGCTCCTTTAGCCAACCAAATCTCCTCCTACGCTGTCAATCTTACCTGTATGCTTTAGGTGCTTTAATGTTACATCATCTACAGGGAAAAAGCTCAGAATTGCACCATATTCAGGACACATGTTTGCGATGGTGCTTCGGTCTCCAATGGAGAGTTGAGAAACGCCGGGGCCAAAGAATTCCACAAATTTTCCAGATACCCCTGCTTGTCTTAGTTGCTATGGAGACAGGAAAAAAAAAAAGCTCCAGTATCATATGTAGGCCAAAGGAAAATGTTACAGCCTTATTTTTTTTTAACAAAAAGGAGAATCCATCAGACTTATCCCCCTTCTAACCAGCAAGAGACACAGTAGTTACACCACACATTTGTGTGTTACAGTCACACAATTGGGATTTGCAATCTTTTTTGACAATTTCTGGCAAAAAAATGTCCTTACTCAAGATACAAACAACAGACTGACCATTACATAACCCAATTGTAATTACAGAGTTAACACTCATCTGATAACCATAGTCAATACAAGGGCACCTGGAGGCAGAAACCTCTTATTTCCTCCCTAACAGATTAAGATTAAATCTTACTCCAGTGACAATTTCTGCTTACCAAAAGTTGCTGTTCTACAACTTCCCAGAGCCAACTGCTCCTTTATCCAGCTAAGCAGTAATAAGTGTGGGAAGAATGCTGAACATTTGGCAAGAATGGCTGCTTTCGTACACACATTGGATGATTCTTGATTCTTGACAAATGTATCTTTTATGTACACTGAGAGCATTTGCACCAAAGACAAATTCCTTGTGTGTCCAACCACACTTGGCCAATTCTGTTCTGTTCTATTTTAATTCTACCCTGCCCGTTTGGCTCCAAAGAGGGTTCTGACATACCTTGGTAATGCTCAGGACTATGTCGATGGATGTAGCAAGTGAGCTGGCCAACCCGGTCAGTTCACACCCAACCACCTCGGGCAAAGTGAGGGTGATGGGGAGGCCCAGCATGACCGCTTCTGTTTCAATTCCACCCATACCTAGATGGGGCAAAAAGAGCATTGAACAGCTTATTGAAAGACGGAGGTCTTACAACTGTGTTGAAATCTTTATCTAAGCCCTCTTTTGTCTGATGTTTAAAATAGGCTGAGCTGAAAATTCAGTGTTTGTTCTAAATTCATGTCTGGGAGACATTTGCCTTAGATGAAGCAGAAACAGAGTGGAGCTTTAGGTGGGTAAACGTAACATTTTTTATCTTCAGGAAAAGAAATTGCATCTGAACATTATTTTCTGTCTGCATGTGGCTTTTAGCTATACTGTATACATCATCCCAAGGATTGTATGAGTTGAGGTTGCACTTATATCAAAGATACATTTTTACAGTTCTTCCCCCTCATGACATAAACAGGTATATCTTCCCACCACTTCTTCGCATATTTCAGTAGAAAATTGCCCTGCATCTGGTATGGTATTGAAGGAACACTGAAATGACAACCCTTGATACCTTCTTTATATCCATTTCTTCTTAAGTTACGTTTTGCAGGCAGTTATTTAATTGTAAATATAGGGCCGCAATACTTATAAGAACGTCCTAATGAAACGGATCCAAAGAAGAGGGCACAACTGCAAACCTGTTTATGCCAAAAGAAAAAAAAAAAAACAACCCCCACTTCCCTTGAAGACAAAGGGAGCAACTCTGTGCAGTGTAACGAAATATGTTTGCCTACAATCCTGCCTGAACACTGCATATCCTGTCTTTTGAACTGTAATCTAAAAGTGTTACAATTTAAATAACAGAGACCATCATGGTATGGACATTTAAAAATAACTTGGTGGCCATCCAGCCCACTCTTTAAAATAACAAATAATCTTTGCACCAATATCATCTCAATGAACCTCTTTAGAAAGACGCTGAACAAGTATTTGAGCCAGAAGACATTCAAAAGCCTCTCCGAGCTACTTACCCCAACCCAGGATTCCTAAGCCATTCACCATGGTTGTATGAGAATCTGTGCCAATAACACTGTCGGGATAGAGGAAGTTTTTGACATCAAAAACTACTCTTGACAGGTGTTCCAGATTCATCTGATGGGCCATTCCTGTCCCAGGAGGAATTACCGAGACATTTCTGAACACTTTGGAACCCCACTAGTTTAATTCATAAAAAGAGAGACAGATAGACAAAGAGGGTTAGTTTCACACTTTCTAAATCAGCCATTCCCTCTCTGACACTCCCCCAATAAATGGCCCTGCAAATTCTGAGCACTGCAGTGCCAAGAGAGGCTGGCTACTTCCCTCAGGCTTCTTGTAGCAAGTGGGGATCAATATCAGAATTTGCCATGCCTGCTAATACTGAAATTCCCCCTCTTTATAGTAAGAAAGGAGAGGGGAGATCAGTTCTGATCTTTGCAAATCACTTCCTTACTGCCTTTCTTTCAACTTCTCCTGGGCCATGCTACCTTCGAAGCGACATACCTTAAAAAATTGGAGTCTCTCTTTATTTCTCCCAAATTCTATCTCTTGATTCTTCAATACTGTTTCAGGCCTAAGGAGATGAAAGAGGGGGGGAAAAAAACCATATTAAAACCGTTATTTGCAGTGCTTAGAAAAACCCCAAGAAACATTTTTTCTTGCTAACGTTTCAGAAAACATTGCACAAAGACAAAAATAGAACATTATGGGGTTAAAGGGATATTTCCCACGCGTCCTTGTTTGATTTTACTTATTTAACTGTATACATATAGACGTATTTTGATGACTAGATACTACACAGAGTTAGCCTATGGTAAGATGAGCGGCCAATAAATTTTACCAACAGATATATAAAACTTCCCATCAGTGAAAATCCTTTGCCCCAAAGGTGGCTTGATATTGGCTCTAAAGCAAACTTAATACACGTTTGTGGTTTGGATCTGGGTAGGAGCCAATCTTGCTGTCAGATTTTGACCCCAGAATGGGATTGGCCCTCCAAAGCCAGGAGGGGAATTTAAAAAGGGAAGCTTACTCAGGCACTGGCTGAAGATGGAAAGGACACAAGAGGGGCGTATTCTCAATCTGCACAGAAAACTGCCCAGGGTTCCGCTTGGATTCTCCATCGCACGGTCCTTTGCAGCTGGACTGGTCTCGGCACGGGAGCTTCCGAGGGGCTTTAAGCGGGGAGAGCTTGGAGGAAGTGGGCCGTGGGGGGTCGCCGCCTCCGGGATTCGGAGTGTTTTGTATTGCACTAGGCAAAAATGAAATGGAAAGAATGCTTTGTTCGTTGCAATCTTTCAAATCCTCATCATGGCTAAGGTAGAATATATACATATTTGATAGGAACAATTCAAGAGAGGGAGGGAGGTAAAGAGAGAGAGGGAGAGAGAGAGAGAGAGAGAGAGAGAGAGACAGACAGACAGACAGACACATTCCCTATTCCTGCTTCAAATAAAAGGGGATTCAATGTACCTAAATTAGATCAACTTAGCATCTAAAATATAACCCCATTTTCGATTCTGCCCGCTTAAGGACAAACGCTCCACTATCAAGACAGGGCCTCATCCACCCGTCCCCAATAAAATATAAGGGAAGCTGATAATTTGACGGATACCATTTGCTGAAGTCAATCTGCAAAGAATGGTCCACAGTCAGATCTGTTGGGCAGACAGGATGGACTCGCGTAGGATCTCCTCCGAGGTTCTTCACCGCTTCCCTCATGGCAGCAAAATCAACCATTGCAGGAATTCCTCTGACATAACAGGAACAATGTTTTCTACTTAGTACATCCACAAAGTCAGCACTGTAGATTCAATCCATCTCATCAAGAGGATTAACAGTGATCTTAACTATGGTTTAAGCCAGAGGTCTCCAAACTTGGCAAATTTAAGACTGGTGGACTTCAACTTCCAGAATTCCTCAACCAGACTTCAATTCTGGGAGTTGAAGTCCACAAGTTTTAAAATTGCCAAGTTTGGGGACCTCTGCTTTAAGCCATACAAACAATAATGGATGGGATCTGTGTAGTTTAAGCATCATGCAAAGCTTAAACTACGCAGCTACATTATGACTGTATTTAACAAGCGAGTCCCATCATACGTTGACCAAGAAGACAACAAGCTCAGTGGTATAGCGGATTACAAATCTATCAGTTTGACACACTGGGAAAAAGTCCTGTCTGAATGCCTGCATGAAGCTATCCTGAAACATCCAACCTTCTGCTATGATCTCCCACTATTTCAATCCTAACAGACTTTTGCTGGAGTCACTGCCAGGATAAACTCATGCAATCTGGATTTCTGCTCATCTAAATACTCAGAAAGACCCACCCAGGACATTTAGAAAAACTCATCAGGTTCTAACTAAAATAGACGAACTCAAGGGGGAAAGTGGGTCTTACGTGAAATCTTGGAGCAGGACTCTGGCAGGACAAAAGGGCACTTCAACATTGTTCTGTTTGGCTTGCCAGTCCAGGATATTCATCACATCTCCTTCTTTCACTAGGAAACCATCCCAGTTGCGGACAGCCGTTTCCAACATTACCCGTATGGTGTAAGGCAGGAGATCTGCAAATGGACAGAGTAGCTACATGGCTCGAGGGTAAACCCTGGTGCTGGTCATTCCTGCTCTAGGCTTTCTTCTAAATCAGGAAACTTTTGTAAGCAGAAAATGTGGGGAAGGCATCGAACAGAGCAGGGATCCCCAAACATGGCAACTTGAAGAGTGTGGAATTTAGAGAGTTCAACTCCACAAGTCCCAAAGTTTTCAAGTTTGGAGACCCCTGGAGTACAGGGATTTCTGTCTGAGGAGATAAAGAGCAGTGGTGCAACACAATCTGTACAGTTTGTTTAGTGACTGTTCAAAGTTAAAATGGCACTGCATTGTAAACAACCGGTAATTGAATTGCGTTTCCTTTAAGCATTATTTGGAAATATGCAAAACATTAATAAGCATTTGCTGGTATACTTGGCATTAGTTTTCTTACCGCTAAGTATGGGCCAGGAGTTAAGAGTCCACGTGTCCTGCTCTCGGATATTTGAATCTGGCAACCACATATTCCAATAAATCTATTTAATGTTGCTTACTGAAAACACATGACTTATTGCCAACAGTAGGGACAGCTGTTAATTAGAGAATCCTTCAAAATTAGATTGCTAACTTTATTAAGGATTGCGGTCCAGGTGAGAGCAATTGCCAAAGAGGTAAAGCAATCACTCTGCAGCAATGAATTATGAGAACATTTGTCTAAGGGCACTGGAAATTTCTGCAAGTCTGTGACACGTAAAAAAGCTTGCAACCACCACCTCAGAAAGAAAAAGCAATTATTCTTTTTAATAAGCATAAAGCAAGCCTGTGTTAGTACAGCCACATAATAATTTTTCAGCTCTGAAGGTTGCAAACTATTGCTGCAGGCTTCGCTAGCTTCATTTAAATTAACTGAGTTTTCTAAGGCAGACAAGATAATTTCTCCCTCATTAAGCGATTCTTCAAAGGCTAACCATATAGAAGAAGGAACTGACAAGAATATTTGCAGTTCAGGCTGTTGAGTAAGAAAGAGACATTCCCCAATGTGGTTTCTTATTCCAAAACATACACTCAGGTTGGGCTCGCTTCCGCAGCACATATACTAAAATTGGAACGATACAAAGCATACTCAGGTGACTAACAAATAATTTTACAACTACCTTCAAAGTTTTCAGTGTGACAGAGAACCACAAACAGTTCATCAATAACTTAAAAGGCTTTGATCTCCACTTTCAATATTTGTATGGGGAGATTTCACATGTATCAAGGAATCGAATTCATGGTTCAATGCACTTTCATTAGGGAAGGAAAGCAGGATAGAAATGAAATAGGCACAATTTAAAAGACCAGATGAACAATTCGGCTCCTCTTCCAGAAGACTCCTTACAAATTTGTTTAGTGTAAGGTGAGCAATTAACAGACCCGTCATACTTTTTAGAGATAGTTTTGCATGGTCAACTATCTGCATCTTGAAAAGTACGTATAGCAAGCAGAATTTCTTTTTCTAAAAGATAAGGACGACAGCAGCATGACAACACCCAGCTGAAGCAACTGATAAAACAAAGGTTTTATAATTCTGAGTAAGCTTTTTCCACAGTCCTCTCTGAAATTCGTTAAATAAGTTCCATTAATTTGAAAATGCACCACTTTTAAGCAGAAAGAAAGGGATATACTTGGACTAAGGAAGATAATTTCTGAATGTCTAGTCACCAGAGGGGTTAATTTTATTTTGCCACACCATGTTATAGAAGGGCTTCCTCACAGAACCAACAAAGAACCACCAGAAGTTAGCATAAAAAACACATTAATGGCTCACTGCAGTTACTTTAAAGGAGGCTGTGTCTACTTCTAACTGGAATTTGAATATCCAGGAAGAAGAAAATTAATAACAACTTTAGGCACATTTACTCAAGCAGTTTTAACAGAGAAAGCATTTAGGATTACAACTCAGCAGCATAATCCCAAGAGTGGTTCAGTAACAAGGCCACCAATCCCCAAATTCATTTTAAGACTACTTAAGAAATCTTAAGGAGGTTAGATTAGGTTTATATTAGAACAACACAACTGAAAAGTAGTTTACCATATTTGGTGCCTCCTAGTTTAGCAATGTTGTAGAACTTTTTGTCTGCATTGTCACTCAGTGTTTCAATTAAGTGCTGGAACAGGTGTCCTGAAAAACAAGTCAAATTATTAGTTATTTGATATATGTTTGTATATGTAGTTGGGTAGGAAGGCTGCAATTCTATCCATTTTTACTTTGAATAATACCCATTAAATCCACTGGAATTTGCTATATATAAAAAAACAGTAATAGATTGCAAGACTAAATGTTTCCTGTATTTTTCCTATCAATAATTTGCAGTAGAATGTTACTTTATATGTATTAAATACTTTTATTCTAATTTAAATAGAACTGAGATGCCTCATAATAGATTCTATATATAACATTAATTTTTTTTATACAGGTCTAATTCCATTTTGGTAAATTGGGCCACATCCAGGTTTAGTCATACTTGGAGGCTGAAAACAATAGAGCTTAAATCTTAAGTAACAAATCCCACTGATGTTGAGCCACTCTCAGTACAATTAAACTTAAGATTCCACTCATTGCCTTCATGATAAATTATATTTAATATTCTAGAGACAAAATCTCAACTTTTTAAAAATAAAATGTTAAAGAGCAAAACATATATTCTTTATGCATAACTAGTACTTGAGGAATTATAAAGTTGTCGTTATCTCCACAACACGGAGAGAACTTTACTTAATAAACGTGGTTTTGGGAAGGATCATACAATAATTGTGTTTGTGTCTATCAGCAATGCCATTATTCACAAATGCTCCAATGGTACCCAAGGTTTAATGTTAAAACCTTCAGAAGGAAGTCTTGCCTTTAATATGTGAATATATCCCTAAATCCTAGATAGATAAAGATTGTGACCTGCTGGAGACTATTTTGCTTTTAAATTGACACAGAAAAAAGCGCACTTCCCACCCCATCTTCACTTTTTCTGCTATGCAAGAACACTCACACACACCTCTTCTGACAGGAGACAGAGCTGGGATCTTTGCTACGGGATGAAGGGATGGAGGAATGTATTGCAGCCAAAGATTAACAGGAGAAAGAAGCCAGTCTCTTATTTCTGCTAATCTCTCAATCAATAAGGGTTTTTTTGTCCAGTCTCCAATATTCTCATTTGTTGGAGCACCGAAAACGCAGAACTGAACCAAGCCAACATGGAGAGGAAGCATGAAAGTGGGAAGAATGCAGAAGGCCTGCAGATGATGGGACATGTAGCCAAGAGACATGGAAGGGGACGATGGGAACTGTTGTTTAACAGTTCTGGAAATGGAATGAATTATAGCCAAAAGGAGAAGGATGACGGGAACCACTGTTGAACAGATCTTAGATGGGGGCGATGGGAACTGTAGTCAAAGGTTCATGGAAGGGGATGATGGGAACTGTTTTAACAGACCTCAAATGGGGATGATGAGAACAGCCCAAGGCCTATGGAAGAGGATGATGGGAACTGTTGCCTACAGTCCTGGAACAGCAATGACAAGAATGGAGAGAAATGGACAGAGATGATGGGAACTCCTATTTGATAACCCTGGGATGGGGGTGATGGGAATTGTAATCCAATCCAATGAAGGGGAGGATGGAAACGGTTGTTTCAGAGCTGTAACAGGGATGCTGAAATGTATGGAAGGGGATGATGGGAACTGTGCTTTAGCAGTCCTGACAGGAACAGTACCCCAAGAGAAATGGGTCAGGGATGATGGGAACTACTGCTCGATAAACCTGGGATGGGGGCGATGGGAACTGTAATCCAAGGCCCATAGAAGAGGGTGACGGTTGTTTCAGAGGTGGCAGGGGGATGCCGAGATGCACAGAAGAGGATGATGGTTTCCTAGTCCTGACAGGAGGGTGCTATACCCCGAGGCGAATGGACAGGGATGATGGGAGTGGTTGTACCCAGCCCTGCAATGGAAGGGGGGGGGGATGATGGGAACTGCACCCCAAGGGAAGCAGGAACTGGAGCCCAAAGCCCAGAAAGGGGATAATGGGAACTGTAGTCCCCACACACGTTGTATCTTGAAAGCGGGGGGGGGGGGGTCTCTCCCGGTGGGGGAAGCCCAAAGGGGGGGGGGGGAAGGGAAGCCAGCGAGAAAGATGGCTGACAGCCCTCCCCTCCCTTTTATCGGGGGGTGGGGGAGGGAAGAGTGGGCGGAGAGGCCGGTCGGGGCTGCCACAAAGGGAAAGGGGCCATTTTGCCACCCTCCCCGCCCCCTTCCCCTCATCGCCACTGACCTGCCCGGGCCGCCTCCATGTTCCTCTCTCGGAGAAGGATGCCACGGGAGTTGTGAGGGGGAGGAAAGAAGAGCCTTGGGGGGGGAGGGGGCAGAGCCCTCCCCTCAAAGTCCGCGAGAGAAGCGAGGGAGGGAGACAACCGGCGGGCCCCCTCAGCGGCTCCGCCCGGCCCTCCCCGCTCCCTCATTGGGATTCCCCCCGGTTCTCGCGAGAGCTCCGCCGCCCGCAAGAAAGGAAAGCGGCGCGAACTCTCGCGAGAAGGCTTTCGGCCTCGGCGCGAGGGGCGGTGCGCGTGCGTCAGTGCCCGCCCCCTCCTCCTCCTCCTTCTCTCCTCCTCCTCCTCCTCCTCCTCCTCTGTCCTCCGGTCAGGGATAGCGGCTCAAGGGAGCGAGACGTCAGGGTTCGGATCTCGCGAGAGTTGCGCCCTTTCCTTGGCCGCTAGGGGCAACTTCGCCGACTAAGAGGCTGGGACCCTGTCTTTCCTCTGAGCATGCGTCGTCTTCTAGGCCTCTTGCGCTGCTGCAAGGGGCGGAATCTTTGTAACTCCCTCTGAGGGTCGGACGGAAGGATTTGGAAGCAGGACCACAAGGACCAACTTTGGTGCTGAAGAAGGCATGGCAGGAGCGGGACCCGATTTAAAGTCCCCGGTGCTGAAGCACCGGCGCACGACCCTCGAACGGGTGGAGAAGTTTATTTCGCAGGATTATTTTGTGGATTGCAACCTCCGGGGAAGGTGGGTTGGGGCTGGTCCGTCTGCTAAATCCTTCCCCATCTTTTCCCCAAGTACAGGTAGTCCTCGATTTACAACGGTTCCTTTAGTGACCGTTTGAAGTTGGCACTGAACAAAGGGACTTATGATCGTTTTTCACACGGCCTTGGCAACTGGTTCACATTTGGTTAGACTAGATGACCTACAAGGTCCCTTCCAACTCTGATTAGCTGTTATCTGTATGACGGTTGCAGTATCCCAGGGTTACGTGATCCGCTTTTGCGACCTTTTGCCAAGCAAAATCAATGGGGGAGCCAGATTCACTTAACAACTGTGTGACTAACTTAACAAATGCAATGATTCGCTTAACTGTGGCAAGAAAAGTTGTAAATTGGGGCAAAATTCACTGAACAAATGATTCACTTAGCAGCATAAATTTGGGGCTCAATTGTGGATGTACCTCGAGGTCTGCCTCTACTGTTACCAAAACGCTGCGATTGTTTTGTTTCAAAGAAAAAAGGAGGAAAATGAGTCAAATTTAAAGGTTTAAGCAGAAGGGCAAATCCAGGATTTAATTGAACTCTCTGTGTTTTACAATTAAGAAGAAGCACAGAAGCCCCAGTGTGGTTGCAAAAGGTTGAGTTGTCCTCTGTGGCTGACTTTTGTTTATTTTTAATTAAAGGTGATTTTAGATCTTGGGCCACAAAGGTGCTGGCTTTGAACCACTTGAATCATCTGCATTGAATCATCTGCATTGAATCATCTGCATTGAATTAGAAGGAAGATGTTGGCTGGGAGCAACCTTTATTTGCTTGTCTCCCTTTGCAAAGAGTTTTAACTGCAGCAATTTAGTTGAAAATTTTAATTAGTTGCTGCCTATGGAAAGCAACACTCGAAGATTTTTGTTGTTCAGGCGACATATAAAGCAGCGTTTTTCAAATTTGGCAATTTTAATGTGTGCCGTAGTAGCGCCTTTCGTGCTCTACAGTGGTGTTTTTCAACCTCACTAATATTGAGCTGTGTAGACATCCTGCCAAAATTCCCCATGTTGGCTGAGGAATTCTGGGAGTTGAAATCCACTTATCTTAAAGTTTCCAAGTTTGAAAACACTAATTTTAATCTATTGCTTATTCTCAAAGGACAAAAAGCCGAAAAAGATGGAAGGAAGGAGAGAAAAATCCTTAAATACTTTTAAAAGCAACTGATCAAGCATTATAAAGACCAAGGAATTTGCATTGTCTGCTAATCAGTGGTTAATTTTAACCATTGATGACTAACTGAATTGTTGAAATTCACAACACAACACTAACCTTTGCCCAACTTACCCAGAAACTATTCAATCCCATTTTAATTAATTTATAGAAGTTTCCCCTGTCACTAGTGGATTATAAAGGTTGGAATTCAACCCACTTTAACACTTGTTTGGGAAAAGTTGCAGTTGTGGATCAATATCTTCACTTCATGAATCTAGTCTTAAAAAGGCATGTGCAGATTTAAGTCATGCCAGGTTGAAAAACTGGGGTGCTACCCTGGAAGAGCATGACAAGTTTATCAAGGAGGAGTATGTTGTCTCTGAGAATATATAGTGGTTGTCTCTGAGAATGTATTATCCTTTGGCGTGCTGTTTCAAAGACATAAAACATTGTGTGTCTTTTACCAGACTGTTTGGTGACACATGCGCATTGGCCTCTCTGTCTTACTTTGAAACTTCTAAACGAATTCCATACAGTGAAGCTATCAGAGAAGAATTCAGCCCTATTAAAGTTGGAGATAGTTTTGGACAGACGTAAGTATTTCCTTATTCAGAGTTGAATTTCCCATCTCATTTCCTAAGGGAACAAAATGAAGGGTTTGTGCTTTAGTTTAGAACAGAGGTGTCAAACGTGCAATGACACATTGTCGTTACGTGATGTATTGCAACTTTTTTCCCCTTCGCTAAAACAGGGATGGGCGTGGCCGGCGCGTGATGCAACCAGCCCTCGGGCCATGAATTTGACACCCCTGGTTTAGAACCACTTTTGCCTAGTGGTTAAGGCTCCAGGATAGAAAGGAGATCATGAGTTCAAGTCCCACTTTAGCTATGGAAGCCAGCTGAGTGAATTTTGGATCTCTCTCAGCTCAATCCATGTTGCTGGGAAAATAGATGGAAGTTATTTGTAAAAATAAGGCTTCAGGTTGCCAATGTTTAAAGGGTACTCCTGTACTTTTTAGTTAATGGAATTTGTGGCCTCCTGACAGTTTCAGTGTCACTTTTCTAAGGTGGCACACCTGCTGGTTTAAAGTAGAACTCAGCATTCCCAAGAAATGGACCGGAAAGGAAGTGCATCTTCTTTGGGAAAGCGATGGAGAAGGAATGATTTGGAGGGATGCTCAGCCCATTCAGGTAAGTGACGGTCATAAAATTGTCACCATCACTGGATCATCTTTCAGATTCGTTTGCTTTTCACGTAAACAAAAAAAAATCACCCCATACTAAAAAGGCAAGTACATGATAAATAGAATGTTAGTCTTTGGGGAAAATGCTGGAGAGAAATAATTTACTTTATAAAAGTATGTGATGGACGTAATAATTTGAGCACCACCTTTATTGGCAATGCAGTCTTCCTATCCCACCCCCCGTCCAACTATATATTTTTTGCATTATCAGAGTTTGACGCGAGAAGGTGAGAAGACCAGTTACATGCTGACAGACAGTCTAAAGGAGACCGAACCTCATGGGTGAGCCAGTCTTTTGGGCTGCATTACGGAAATAATACTGTACTGCTCTAGCAATTCAGTTGAGATGAACCTGTCAGTATTTTGACTTGGGATAACCATCCTTTCCTGGAAATGCCAGGTGTTGAAAAATGCATATAGCCTGCAATTCATAAATCAGCTAACATAAAACAATGCAAGTTGTCAAAATTCTAATGGAAAGGAAAATTATTTGCCAGGGTGATGGACAGATGATTTGGGGTGGAAAATTTTGCAGTGTCAGGGTAGTCACTGGGAACCTAATCCAGGCCCGTGGATTATAAAACAGAAAAGTATCACGCACCTATTTCCCTTCTGCAGCTTGACCCTCTATCTGGAAGTTGCCTGCAATGGTCTCTTCGGAGCAGGGAAGGGCAGCATGATCGCACCCCCGGATCCGGACAAAACGTTCTCCTTGAATAGAGCAGAGTTGGTGGTTTACAACCGGGATGTCCATGAGCTTCTGGTGGACTTTGAAATCCTCTTGGACATGGCCAAGGTGGGATGTCTCATTTTTTGCCATTTTAATGTATGTGTAAGGTCCTGTCTCAGCTGTCTTCTCGTTCCCTTTGTTCAGTGCCATCGTAATTTTGAACAGTCACCAAACAAACAGTCATAAGTCAAGGACTGCCTGCAGTTACGATATGGCTATCCTTGTAGGTCTGCATGGATAGCAATAGCACTTAACCCAGGGGTCTTCCAACTTGATAGCTGTAAGACTGGTGGACTTCAACTCCCAGAATTCCTGAGCTTACATGACTGGAGGAGGAATTCAGATAACAGATAACAGATAATCAGAGTTGGAAGGGACCTTGTAGGTCATCTAGTCCAACCCCCAGCCCAAGCAGGAGACCCTACACCATTTCTGACAAATGGCAGTCCAATCTCTCCTTGAAAGTCTCAAGTGATGGCTCTCCCACAACTTCCAAGGGCAACTTCTGTTCCATGAGTGGACTGTTCTCACTGTCAGAAAGTTTCTCCTTATTTCCAGGTTAAATCTCTCCTTGTTCAGTTTCCATCCATTGTTCCTTGTCTGGCCTACAATCCACCAGTCTTAAACTTGTCAGGTTTGAAGACCCTTGACGTAAACTTATATACCGCTTTACAGTGCTTCACAGCCTTCTCTAAGTGGTTTACAGAGCCAGCCTCTTGCCCCCAACAATCTGGGTCCTCATTTTACCCACCTCAGAAGGATGGAAGGCTGAGTCAACCTTGAGCCTGGTGGGATTCAAACTGCCAAATTTCAGGCAGCCAGCAGTCGGCAGAAGTAGCCTTCAATACTGCACTCTAACCACTGGGCCACCCTGGATGCGAATCTCTTTGATTCTAATTCATAACAATGCATTGTTGACTCAGTGAAGAATTCATTTGCAGAGTGCTCCAAACAGGATTTGTTAAAGCCCCGCCACTGTTTAGATTTTGGAATTTGAGTTCCAGGTACACTCTTATTCCTTGAGGTTGATTTGAGCCAGCGTAAAATGTATATTTCCTTTCCCGCTTAGCTCCTCGGAGAGGAAAACCAGCGGAGCTTCCAAGCGCTTTACGCAGCGAACCAGATGGTGAACCTGTGTGACATCAACAACCCGGCAACCTTCCCTGCGGTGCGGGAAATGGCCCGCTCTGTTTTCTGCCAGAAAAACGGAGACAGCCAGCACATCATCCATGCAATGGGCCACTGCCACATTGATACTGGTAGGAACCGTGCGCGGGGTATATATATTCCAGTCTAGGAAAGATCTCCCA